GTGCCCGGGCTCTTCTGTGGCCTCTAGATATCCGCGAGCCGATCGCTGGCCCCCATGGCGGCAACGTCTCATTCGAATGTCAGTTCAGGAGGCGGACACCCTCTCTACCTTTAAGATTAGACTTAAGACTTTCCTTTTTGATAAAGTTTATAGTTAGGGCTGGATCAGGTGACCCTGAGCCTTCCCTTAGTTATGCTGCTATAGACCTAGGCTGCTGGGGGGATGGGGGGGCATGATGCTCTGAGTTTCTCTTCTCCCCCTCCTCTCCTGATGAAGATGAAAAATCCCCACCAACAAGAAAAAGATCATGGGTGTGTGCAGTTCAGCATAGGAGGTTCATGTGAGGCAACAGTGAGCATGGTGGGTCACATGCAGAGCAAGCATCCCTGTTTTTTTGTTTGTTTTTTTTTGCCTTAGTTGCTCATTCCAATTGAATGATTTGAATTTTTGCTTTAGGGGGATGACACTTCAACTACATACTGGCATACCGTCTGTTTTTATGGGAAGGTCATGACAAACATTCTATGAGCATTATTCACATCAAATTTGCTGGCAGCACTTTACAATAAAGGTACAAATCCTTAAGTAATGTTTAACTAATGCATGACTCACAATTTAATAATTTCATTTTTCTATATTAATAACATTTTCAGCAGTCTCCATACAAAGACTAAAACCGACAATGAATTGTCTCTACTCATGGTTAATGTCTGTCACCTGTTAGTCCTGAATCAACTTGCTTGTCTGTGTGATAGATCTCTGTTATTCAAAAATGATTAAAAACACATCAGGGCAATGTAAAAATGTAAAAGTAAAAATCCTTTTGCCTCTTTTGTAAATGTTTATTGTCTTATCTTCTATGTTATGTCCTTTCTCCTGTTAACATGTTATTTCATGTTGCAATAATGGCTGTGGCTTAGGAGGTAGAGCAGGTCATCTCCTAACCAGAGGATTAACGGTTTGATTCCCGGCTTGTCCAGTCCTTGAGCAAGGCACTGAACCCCCAGTTGCTCCCAGTGATGACACCAGTGTGTGAATGTGTGAGCATTTGGGAGTGTGAATGGCCAAGTAGTATGAAAGCGCTTTGAGTGTGCTGTAAAGCGTAGAAAAGCGCTGTACAAGTATAAGACCATTTACTAATACAAAGTATGGTTGCTTTTGAGAAACAGGGGAACATTTCAGGTTTCAGTCTGGGCCAGACCAACAAACAAGTGCTATAGAACAGCAAGGTCAATGGGTTTATAATTTGGAAGGATTCAGAGGGCGGGAGGGAAACTCTCTCTCTCTCTCTCTCTCTCTCTTTCTCTCTGTTATGTGTATGGGTGTGTGCATGCCTGGCATCAACCATATTGTGAGGACTGAACATAGTTAACCCTATAAAACCATTGTATCATATTTCATACGTGAGGTTTCTGAGCAAAAAAAAAATCACCAAAAATGCCCCATGTATCAAATGTGATACAAAAGAAATAGAAATAATCTAAATAATATGGCACCTCTATTCCTATATGCCTGGACTGTCTGTCTATGCATATATGGCAAATAAAAATCGTGAATCATGAATTTTATTTTGGATTTTGTTAAAAGGTTTAATAAACATCTCAGTTCCAAAACATTAGAATGTTCTGGCTATTTTTTGATATGTTGGGCTTTACAGGGTTAAGGTTGGGGTAAGTCTCCAGTAAATGAATTTAAGTTTGTGTGTGAGCCTTTGCATTACTTACATTATGAGGACCAAATCCTGTTAACACACTTACATTGTGGGGACTCAGCCAGATCACTCAGTTTTAGGGTGGCAACATGGTTTGAGGTTAGGATGAGGTTAGGGTTAAGTTAAAGTCAGGGTTAGGCTTAGGTGAGTAGTTTAAGATAAGTCTGTAGGAAATGAATGTAAGTTTTAGGTGAGTAGTTTAAGATAAGTCTGCAGGAAATGAATGTAAGTCGATGTAAAGTCCCCACAAGGAATGAAAACACAGTGTGAGTGTGTGTGTAACTGGATATCCTTCTGATGTGGAGCAGATGCTGCTCCCCTTCTGCTGAACTGAGTGTCGGCAGAGAAGATATATAACCACAGTGACACAGAGAACAACACACACATAGTCTGACTCCACGGCAGCTGTCAACACACACTTTTCCAAGGTAAGCAAGTGTTTTCATCAATGCTCCAGCGCTGCATATTTATTTGAAAATACATTATACTGTAAAATTGCTCTGTGTTTAATTAAAGTTTTTGTTTGATTGCTACCAGTTAACTTAAAAACAAAGGATACAGTAACTTAGAAACGTGCTGACTGACTGCTCTTTATTTAAATAATGCATTTTATTATAGCTTAAATGACATTTATCAGCCCTGCTGAAGGCACATTATAGTGCCATGTTTCACAGAGCTGTAATCTATAAATCCATTTGTGTGGGTAAGAAGAGAAGCAAGTTGCAGTTTTCAATAATGTCTGCAGCTATTTTACAGAACAAGAAGAGAATATTACAGTGGTTTTATCTATAGCTAAAGAACACAGTGTCATCATTAATACAAACTTATGTAAAATTACCCCAGAGTTTATTGCATAATGCCAAAGCTACAGAGCAGTGAGGGGGTGGTAAACCATGTGTTTAATGATTAGTTATTACCACAGTATCGGTATAAAGCTATTACATCATGGTTACTGCTAATGGTAGTTTCACATTAACACGGGATCAACTGACTACATGTGCTGTATGTATAATGTAAAATGGCTTGTTGTGACAATCCCACAGAGAATTATTCAAGTCTGCGAAGCTATTTATCCTTTTGACAGTGTATCTGGTGAATGTGTAAACAAACTACTAACACGTCATTGTCACTTCTTAATGGCTATTTCTCCAAATCTATGCAATTTCATTTTAATATCCAGGGAAGCAATGAATTTGGTTACTTGGATAAAGTAATTGGATAACTTAAAAAATTTATTCATAAATATAACTTTTCAAAGGTTCATTCTCCCACTGATGCACTGAGCAGCCAGAGCTGTGTTTTATCAGTATTTTTGTGTTTCAGGGGAACGTGCTGTACTAAAGATAAGCTCCTATCCTGTGCAGATACTATATCAGAACATCACATTTTCCACTTTATGCTTGTGCAGCTGCCATTGCATGTTTATCAGTAAACAACAGCAGTAGTATTTTTTACTAATCAAACATATTTTTCATTTAACAGTGATTCTCCAGCCATTACATACCAAAATATTTAGAACTCCCTGCTCTTTATTGGATCAAAACTAGAATGACTCATTTTCTGTCATCCTTTAATGAGGAGAATCTGAGCCACTGCCACATCCTCAGTATATGTCATGCACTGATGCTGTATGCTCAGAGTACAAAAAGGTCTAAATGTATAAATGAGATGCTTCAGATGCTGTTGTTATTGCCTTTACTAGTTAATGTATATTTTAAACTCTCTGTCGTTTCCAGACACTGCTGTACTCATTGTTGTATGCTGCATTCATTTGCTTATCATGTAGTATTTCACAAACCCACCTCTAGTCCAGCATCTACCCAAAGGTTCTGCTTGATTTCCCCCTTAGGAACAAGTATGGGGAGTGTTTTTCTTACTGTCACCCCCCCAGAGTCTCTGCTGTCCTGAGCTTGGTTTAATCTTACAATAGATGCCAAATATGAAGTCTATATAGAAATCATCTGTTTATATTTTAAAAAGTGAGCTGTTTTCTTGGCACAGCACTACAAAATCCCACAGGAGTATCCCCCTTCAGCCCCCCTTCAGCTAATGGATGCTTCTCGACTTCTCCTCATCTTTGTGGTGATATCTACATCTGAATGTTCAGGTAGTGTATATCATCAAAAAAACATTGTATTTGTAGATCGGCTTATGCTGTTTGAACTATTTAAGATGATGACCTTGACCATGATGATGACCCACACAATATATACTGGGTGACAGGTTTCACCAAGTCCTTCCCACACACTTCTCGAATACTCATCCGCAACTGAAATTAGTTCCTAACAAATGCACTATTTATACTCTTTGAGCTGCATTTGCTGTAACTACAGTGGCCAGTTGTTTTAGGATGACACTAAAGAATTAAACTATATATTTGTGATTATTTTAAAGATTTGTGACTTCAACAGGAACAATTATGAGCCTGTGGCTGTGCCACAGACAGGGCAGCACAAAAGAGAGACTGAGTTACATGTTTTTGCTTTAGTTCTTTTTATGGAAGTTGTTGACAGTAAAATATACAGAGAAAACAACAGCTCCATCTTTAAATACAGCACATATCTTGATAAATAATACTTGTCTGTATATACATATAGTTTCCCTCTGTTTGTAACAGTATATATGATGTCTTGTCTTAACTTAAGTTGCATTAATAGATGCAGGAGTGAATTTAAAATGTTTAAAACATCATAAACATCGTGCATTTCACCACCTTCCACCTGTTACAGATACCAAGCTTTAAAACCTTTTCTCTTCCTACAAGTATCTTATAAGCTTGTTTATTCTATTGTTGTGTTCTCAATTGTACTTCAAGAACTCAAGACAAAAATTGTAATAATGCAATATCTACCTGCAAATGTACATATCTGGGAACTATTAATTTAGTGCTTTTCATCATCATTATCATCTTCTCACTTTTCAGGACCAGCTGAGCCACAATGTCTGAACCATACTGAACAGTTATTTCGCCTACTCGAAGGTGAATCATTTTATGTTGTGCCATATGATCTGGTTGACAACGAGCAACTTGAAGATAAAGAAATCACATGGTCCAAAAATAAGCTTGAGATCTCATCTGCTGAAAACAGGATACATTACCATGGTAAAATGTTGTTTTTCTTAAACCTCCGCACTGAGGACTCTGGCTTCTACAGTGGCCGGTAAGAATAAAACATTTTGGTAACTTTAAATTAAAGGTTTTTCTTGCTTCTGTAAGTCAGTGTAACATGACAGGCTCTGATCACTCTTAATAATATTGCTGTCCGGGCCTTTTGCTTCTCTTCTAGGTATGTAAGCTCATCAGGACATTGTAGAAACTACTATGTAAGAATTGAGGTCTTCAAAGCCAGTCACAGATCTGACAACAAACTCCTTTACGGAAAAGTCGAGAACTCAGATGAGAACCAAAGAATCCGGTGTCCAGATCCTGTCATGGACACCTGTGATTATTTGGGAGGAAATTTCACCTGGTACAAGGTACGGCCACCTGTCATTACAGTGACACCTGCTGTCAATGGTAATTGTTTTTTATCTGAACTCTAACTGTAGAACAGGTAACATGATATGTATTTTTTAACATCATGTTACCTTTTTTAATAATGTTATATTTGAGAATTTATTGTTAAAATAGTAGCGCATAAAGACCCAGTAGTTCTGGTGAGTACTGTGTCGATTTAGAACATGTAGGTGGATGTGTTGACTGGCTGATTAAGGGGAATGAGGGGCAGGGTTAGTGTGTCTGGGAAGTGAAAATAACAGCGGAGGAGGTGGAGAGGGAATAACATGACAGGGGTTGAAATGACAGGAGATGTAAGAACTGGCACATAGAATTTGAGCAGAGAAGTACAGAAGTATTTTGTTGTGATGATGGTCACCGTGACTGTTTTAGCTTGATGATGATATATTTTATATTCCACTGTTAAGTCATCTAGTTTGTCCTTTATTAACCTCTGTAGCAAATGCAACATTGATTGAGTCACTCAATTACCCACAGATATGTTGTGTTCATTTTGTTCTGTGGAGCCTGGTATAAAGTTGTAACAGTGCCACTGGAATCATTTTGGGATACATTTGGTTTCTACATCACATAAAGATGATGATGTAAACCGTCTGTCTGTATGGTTAAACCTTACAATAATAAATTAATGTTTAAATCGGTTACAAAACAAATGGATTTTGTATTAATTCAGTTGAATTTAGCTCTTCTTTAGTTTTAAGATTTTTTTTTGTACATTTTCCTATAAACTCCAGTCAACTGCCCTCCTCTTGTTATTTTTAATGACTGGATCATTTCCTTGTTCTCTCTTATAAACTCAAATAAATTAGTGGGTACTTCCCTTCCCTAGTATACTTTCCTTTTATGTGGTAAAAAATTAAGTCCTTTCTAGGAAATGCCAAAAAAACTAACAATTATCAGTTTGTTTTAGGAAATGAATAGCAAACTAAAGGCTTATCGGTGTTTTGGAAGGCTAAATGCATTGTATTTTCTAATTTCATATATTTTGGACTTGTAGCACATACTCATATAACAGAAACAGTAAACATATCTTTTTCTGTCATATAAGCAAAAAAAACCTAAGAAACATTACCAAGGCCTAAAGTGAGTAAATAAATCTAATTCTCCATTGTTCTCACAGTGTTTATTAGATAATTAGATGGTTAGAACAAGGCAAAGCTCTCAATTTACTGGTCGATCTACGTTCCGACTCTCACCTATGGTCATGAACTTTGGGTCATGACCGAAAGGGCAAGATCCCGGATACAGGCGGCCGAAATGAGCTTTCTCCGCAGGGCGGTCGGGCGCACCCTTAGAGATAGGGTGAGGAGCTCGGTCACCCGGGAGGAGCTCAGAGTAGAACCGCTGCTCCTCCACATCGAGAGGAGCCAGCTGAGGTGGCTCGGGTATCTGTTTCGGATGCCTCCTGGGCGCCTTCCTAGGGAGGTGTTCCAGGCATGTCCCACCGGGAGGAGGCCCCGGGGAAGACCCAGGACACGCTGGAGGGACTATGTCATGCATTCATACCCCTCCCAAAGTGTTTCTGTCCAGTTTCTAACTTCCTTTTATATGACTCTGTTCTAGGTTTTTTATTTTATTTTAACTGTTTGTTTCCCTCCCACCCCGGCTGAAGGATTTCACCCTCCTTCAAAGTGAACATAAGGACCACCTGTGGGTGAAAAAGGCCACCAAAGATCATGAAGGCATCTACACTTGCAACTGTACCTGGGAACACAATAACAAGATTTACTACTCATCGGGCTCCAGGAGGCTAATAGTTAAAGGTGAGATAGCATTGTCATATTTTTATAAGTTTGAGTAGTGAGAACTGAAAGCAGTAGATCAGCTTGTTAATCAACTTAGCAGTTAAATGATACTGTATAAACCACCAAAATCACCCATGTGTTTCCTGGTGGAGTGTTCATGCAACTAACTAATGCTAAGATTTCAGCCTTCACTTAAAATGTGGGAGAGTGACAAAACTCAGAACAAGAAGGCAAATGAGGTAGTTCAAATATCTTACTATGACTAAGCTGGCAACTCAGACTATGAAGATTTCTATTTGTCATAGTTGTGAAATATGTTCTGAACAAATTTCGCAAGATACTATAAGGTGCACATTCATCCACAGTCATCGACACAGATAGTTTGTTAGGCCTGTTTAGCTGAGGCTACAAAGGAAATATAGTTGTCAACAGTGACATCAAATTAAATATAAAAAATAATATTCAACAAATAACTAAAATGAATGTCCAATTGAACTTATTTTAATCTGCTTTCAAAAATTTGAGTACATTTTGAACATAAATTGGTGCCTCAGAGGATTCACCAGATGTCAGATGGATTTGATGTATCTCTGCTTACTTGTGTTGTTCAAAAACCGAAGACAGGATATTCCCCAAACTTGATTTCTGTTGGTTTCAAAGAATGAAAGGATATACTAGTGACTGCAACCTATTTACTTGTAAGAACCTACACCTGGACCTGCAACAGGACCCCGCTTATCAAGAAGGCAACAAAAACAGCCAGGGATCATGATGAGATGGAAGAAAATCCAGAATATCCAGTAATCCCCAGAAACCTCTACAGGAACATCACTGGGAGCAAACTCAGCATTAGTCACAGGCAACTGATGATTAGAGTGAAGACAGTCATGGCATCATGGGGATGATCCTCCCATTTCTGCAGAACTCCTATCATAAGAAATCCCCTATTACTTGTATTATCAAATAAGGCCTATCTGCCACATGGACTGTGTTCAGTGTAGGACCACAAGGTGCAGATATTGTAACACTGGTGGCCAGTTGTCTTCCACTGTCCCTACCTCCTTCACTCCACCCACTCAGAATCTCAGCCTCATGTATCCAAGCACTCACACATACGTACACTTGTTTTTAAATTGCTGCTTCAATATCAAAAAGACACCAATTGCACACTTCACTATGTCACTGCACTTGGACATGCTGGGATTTTTACAATAAAAGCTAGTTTTAAAACGTGCAATTGAACTTCATGTGGCATGTCCTTTTAATACTGTACGTTCAATGTATTTTATTACATACTGTATATTAAAGTACCGTACAAACTGATACTATTGTTGCATGTGTAGCCGGTCTCATCTCTACGCGGCCATCAAGTAAAATCTCTGCGTTGTGTCTTTAGTGATGAATCGTAGACGGGGGTTTGCCATCCACAGGAGAGTTTATTCTCTGTGTGAAACACAACTAAATCAGTACATCCATCTGTCAGGTCTCTCTATTCACATCTCTCCTCAGCTTTCCACAGTAGCTGAGTGTGTGCTAAATAAATCAAAATAATAATGCAAATAAAACACTTATTCTCTGTGTGAAACACAACTAAATCAGTACATCCATCTAACAGAAAACAGTGGCTTATAACTCTGTGCCATAACAGTCTGAACGGTAAAGTGCATTTTTTTATGGAAATAAAACACTTAAAATTACAGGAGCAGAGTATACAGCTCACCTCTCCTCAGCTTTCCACAGTAGCTGAGGAGGACCGCGAAGAAACAGGAAACAAAATAACGGGGCAATGGCCTTCAAAATAAAAGCTCCTGACCAACAAAACCATTCAAGGCAACACATCTATGCAAAAATATTGAACAATATGACATGAAACAAAGAACTGAATGCATTACATGGAGATCTCAACAATAGAAGTGGCCATTAACCCCCCAAAATAAAATAATATGCACTGTAAGGTTTTGAGAATGTTCACACTGCATATTCATCTGCTACACATGCACAAGCTGGACTTTGCACTACAACTGAACTACCACTGCTTTATTAAAGTTAGGGTTGGTGATTCCTTCCAGAAGTATTATTACATTTCTTGAATTCCTCTTTTATCCCAATGCCAATAAACACATTAAATGCACTGATAATATAAAGGAAAAAAATCCATCATCTGTGGCAGTAGCAGGGCTGAAAAAAGCCTGACCAGTAATTTTACTCTTCCCAAGTACAAACAGTGGATGGCCTACCTGCCTGTCAACCTAACTTCTTACTTACATGCACTCTGCCTGTGCACTCAGTGCATACACTGAGAGTCTCTCACTGTGTGTTGCAGATGCAGGCAGACATATTACTACTCTGTTTTGATAGCTCAAGCTAGCGAGCTATTGCAATAGAAGGTACCCACAGCAGCTTTTGTTTGCAAACAGAGGCCGTTGTCACAGGCCAGCCCTTCCCGTTTAAGACTTATAACCTTATAGGTAATGCTGTTGTTGTTGTCAGAAGTTGCACCCTGCACGGCGACCAAAAGCAGTCAGCTCTATTTGCACCGATAGGACTGTGATGCTGTTAACTGGGCATCAAAGGCCACATGCAGTGTTTGTGTTACCAAGATAGAATAAAGTCTATGTTTTTAACAGAGTTAGCCAGCCTCCCTCTTCACTTCTCCCTGCCAGAAAAGGCTAGTTATCAGCAAGGAGCCAGGACTAAAGCAGTTACTCTCCTG